AACATGAAGCCAAGAAGTCAGCCTGTTTCTTCTTAGTGAAGGAAATTAAACAGTGCCACATGTGCATATAATGGGCTGCATAACAAAAAATAAAATAAGGATTAATGACAACTCCCTCGTTCTTTTACTGAAATTGGATTATACACCTTATTTTCCCTAACTACTTTTTTTTTTCATAATCCTTGTTTCTCATACAGCTTGAATAAACCTGTTGGCAGCAGTGAGCATACCAATAGTAGCAACAAAATTTTCAGCCGTGGAAAAATGAGTTTTCATCTGAAGAGTGACATGATACAAGGCAGAGAAGTCTATGACTACATTGTCCTTAGTCAGAGATGAAGGCCTCTACAGCTGAAGAACTTTGTGGGGCGAGGGCTCAGTAACAGCTAGTCACAGGCAACCAGCAGAGAGACCATAACAAACAACAGCAACAGCAGGGAATTACAATCCTTGGGCTCTGAGACAGAAATAAAGTCAGGTGAGCATCATCTAGTTTAGAACTTTATAGAAGTTTTGCTTTCTGTTTTTCCATATATAATGCCAATGCTATACCTGGCTTTTATCACAGATCTTTAGAAGGTTTAGGTCTCTTCTGGCATTAAACTTGTGTGACAAAGCATATGCCTCAGGAACCTGCCTGAGCTCTGGTAAACCACCAAAGAAAGGAATGATTGTGGGCTCTTTTACTGCCACCCATCTTTATTCTGAAATCAGGAAAACACTTGTTTCCTGTGTTCCTAAGGGAGCTCTTAAGTAAAGTAATTTGACAAGTGTCACTATACTTAACTACAACCTGAACAAAGAAACATCTCTTATTTGATTTCAAGATATAGAAAAGTTGCCATTGGTAGAGACAACTGATGTTATTGATGAAAAATATATTCCAATTTTCTTGTGAAAGGCCTTTCAAAGAAAACCACATTTTATACTACCACCCAGTTTTGTTCTTCTCAAGTAACTTATGTGTGACAATAACTGAGAGACAATAACCTAGAAAAATAGGGATAATTGTTTTTTAAATCATAAAACAAAGAAATTAACTTCTACCTTCTTAACAGAGAAAACTAGAGAGAAAGCGACTTCAATGTCACAGAAGGTTTCTCCTGTGTTCTGGTTTAAGGAACAAACTCCCTAGCTGTGTATTGAATTTTTTTTTTTTTTTTTTAACTATAGAAAACTACAACTTTATCCACATTCGCTGTCTAGAATGATATATCTGGTATTATTGCCCAATTACAGCTGTAGCTTATCACTACTAGTAGCTTATTTAAAAATGAAAGAACACCCCATAAATGTCCATAATGGTCACTTCAGGTGGTCGTCAAGAAAATACAAACTTGAGAAACTAAGTGAAAGGCTGAAGGAGTATACTGTAAAAGGAAAATTTCAAAATGGCAGTCACTAAAATCTGAATATATTTTCCCCCCACACTGTTTTGTAAACCTTATTTTCTGAGGAGGACTGAAACAGTTAATTTTATTATACGAGTACTCCATGCAATATCAGAAAAACCCACCCCAGAACCACCTACACCCTTAACACACATTTTCTGGGGACATAAAATGTAGCAGGCTGCAGAATGGGAAACTATTCCCCTGTACTGAGGTGTCACAACTCTAAGAGATGTGTCTGTGCCCTGTGCTTCACCTAACAGGAAAGGCAAAATTCTTAAATATTAAAGGAATCACACAGGTAAATGAATGGAGTTTTAATACTGGATTTAACTCCACTTTGTGTATCTGTAAGTGGCAATAATAAACCCAAAGAAAGAACTGGTTTTACACTTGTGAAGAGCTTTTCCAACAGTTAACTAGGTTTGTATTGTCTAGAGTGAATGATATATTAAAAGTAGCCTGGAGCTCAGTGACATCTCTTTATGGGGCATCTGGGTAACAGACAACTTTTATATATCTCTCTTCTTCCATGTCTCTGAGGTTTCCTTACACAGGTTCCAAATCCATGATGGTGTGTAGTGCTTCCAGTGTTCTGGATGTTGCAAGTCACTGCAGCCTATGAAAATTCCGTAGGTATGCCTTAATTATATACATGTAAAATACTGTCCATCAAAATCATGATCTTCAGAACTCTATTATATTTCAGAGCGTAAAAAGCTTCCCTCCTGAGGCACTTAAAGGAATGAGCACTCTAAAAATAGCATCCTGAGGAGAGCATAAGATCTGTTCTGAGGGACAGAACAAACAGCAGGTAACAGCTTAAGCACTGCAATTGAAAAGAGATTATGAAAGGCATTACCTGGAAAAATTTAGAAGTCTTACAGAAAAACAAGATTACTGGAAAATAATATGTACATGTGCAATGCACCAGGCAGCAGTCAGCCCATAGGGAGACAATGTATGGTGAAAGGACATGCGAAAATGTTCTCTGCAGAAAGCGCTGAGGAGCTTAGTTTAGATGAGTGAATTCTGACTAACCTGAGGAACATAAGATGATCCTCTTGTTAGACTCTTGCCTAGAAAAAACAATCCCAACAAAACACCCAAGATTACCAATTTTTCTTGACACGCAGAAAGAATATCCGGAGTATTCCTGACTGTGACACAGTCTAGAAGGTGATGATCTGGGTTTCCAGTTACTCCTACTTTTCAGTAGTATGAATCTACTGGGGTTCTGAAAAAATGCAAGACAATGGCAGAGCCAAAGAAGGAGAAAGAACATTTTGTTTTTACGTAATTGAACTGGCTGGTTTCCAGAAAGCAAGCCAACTGAATGTACTTATGTACTAATTTTTACAAAATAAATGGATAAAAAAAAGTATACCTTTACTCTTACCCCAGTTTGAGTTGTGGGCCAAGCTCTATGCTATTAATATAAAGGCACAGTTACATGAAAAGAAACATTCTTCTGTTTTTTTCTTTTCCACTGATGAGAATAACCTGGGAGAGCTGTTTCCAGCATGGTGATCTTGCTGATAGACTTCAGTCACATTTGTTTTTAGTAGCATTCTAGTTAGCTTGATAACATATTTTAACATGTTTATTAAACAACAATCAAGGATCATGGGGTGAGAATAATGCACTGTGCAGAAGGCTCACAAGGCTCCTTTAAACTCCTGAAATGAATAATAGTCACAGCTGAGAAGTGGTATACAGCAAGATGGGGTAGGCTGTCCAGACTTAAAGGAAATGAGATGAAAGAAGAACAATCATTAGAAAAATATTTCTAATGTTTGTAAGGCAAAGTGGTCCTGTGCACCAAAAAATTGTTTCTGGAAAGAGTAAATTTATTTCTTTGCTACAGAAGAGCCTAGTGAACATAAATTTGAAAATATGTGCATTGTTTTGCTTTTTTTTTTGATTAAAAAAAAATTATATTAAACCCTTCCATTAAACAAAGACAAGCAAATCTGAAAAGACCTCTACCAATGCTGCAATCTGAAAATGAATGCTTATAGAACAGAAAAAGATATCTCAGAGCAGGCAGAAGCACATATATTGTAAAGGAAATCAGTCAAAAGAGATTAGTTCTCTGGCCTGGAGGAAGAGAAAGATCTTTTATAGGGAACCTTTAAAGTATGGAGAAGCATGACAGGAACATGGAAAGAGTCAGTAGTACAGAGTTAAAAATATGAACCTGAGATCCACAAATCACAGAAGAAATATAAAAGGAAGAGTTAAAAAAGACTTTATGTGGTGTGTGCACACACATGTGTTGATAAACAGAGCATCAAAAGAGAAAGGCAAGTTGCAGTATGACCCATTCATATCCAGACATGCTATTTTTGTTCCTGCACTTCGAATAACTTCAAGTGTAGTGTGTGGGAACTGTTAATTCAGGAACAGGGATGATGACTGCTTTATGGGATAAAATTAGTTTGCTTTGGCCCTTTTTAATCTCACTGTAGCCCAATACAGGAATCCCAACAAAAGGACACAATAAATTCCAAGTTATCTGATGACTGCAGTGTTTAACTAGAAGAGTAGGTGAAATTAAAGTCTTACTACCTGCAAGTGCTGCATTTTTCAATACCTGAATCTTAAGCTTGTTAATGACCTTGTAACTTTTCCACATTAACACAATTTGCCTTTACGAACTCTGGAATATTTTTAATAGTGGTTTACATATTTTACTCAAATACTATGTGTGCCTAATTGCTAATGCATAGTGCCTAATGAATATTTGCTTTGAGCAATCTGAAACAGAAATAAACGGTAATGGAAAAGACTAAGTCTAGGAAGAGATAGAAAACTACCTGCTGACAGCACAGGTCATTAGAAAAAGTTCATAAATCAGTAGCCGTTCTCAGTGTTATTTAGTGGGTATACTGATACAACAACATCTTTCTCAGCGATATCATTGTCAGCGTTCCCCAACGGGGAAGCTGTTAATGAGAAAAGGAGATAAATACACTTTGAAAGTCAACTTACCTAAAATAAAAAAAGCACTGCACTGCAAATAACTTGAGGAAGCTAGCAAGGCTGTACTTCTCAATCTTTGTTCGATAACAACATTAAATATATCAAAATACACATGCTTTTTTAACATTCACCCATATTGCTTGATTCAGTCCTGCACAGTTTTCTCCCAACATGTAGAGGTAGAGTACAAGGCTAACTTTGAATAAGCCTGATATTTGCTTGCATCAGGGCCTCTCTAGACACACACGGCTGTGTGAAAAGTACACACAGATTACATATGAATGTTAAGACTTACACTTTTCATTATAAATCGTTTCCTTAATAGACGGAGCATTTTACAGTATTCAATAGCATTCACAGTGTACCTATGACTACAGTTTCCAGGTGTCATCATGTAATGTGCAACTTTCTCAAGCAAATGTATTTTGTTACTCCAGAGCCATACTCTGCTTTAAGCTCTTATTAACATTAATTAACTAAGGAAATTAAGCTAATTAACAAAGGAAACAGTTTTGTATATTATGTATCGTGCACTTCATTTCTAATAGAGTGCATTAGTTAGTTATACTTTAAATGCTAGGCACTTCAACTACTCACAGTGCAGCTGCAAGTAACTTTCATTACCTGATCTTGCGATTTCTTTTTCTTCTTCTTCTTCCCCCAGCACCCTGAACTCTCTGTATCTTTTCCATTGGCATCACCACAGAGTAATCCATCAAGTTCATCTGTTCCCATCTGCTGTCCCTGAGATGTTTCTGCAGCTAGCCTGTATGAGAGGTTCCTCAAAATGCACACACAGTTTTCAACGGTCTAAAGAGTGTGACAAGAAAAAATAAAACAGGAAACAAAACCAGAAGAAAATTAAAATCCTTCCTGTGTTCATTCTGTATACAAAGCAGAAGAAACATCATCAATCTTCACACATACATTTTCCCATCCCAGCACAATTCTTATCTGTTCATTTCTGAGTGCTCCTCACACAACCACTGCTTAAGAGACTTAGAAATTTTTATGGAAAGAAACCAGCAGTATGGACAATATTTTCCTGGTAATTTCTTTATTGTCATTCTGAATTTCATGCTGGAGCCCCATGTGAAACAGCAGCCAAGGTAAAAAGTCATCAAGAGAACCTGAACACACACAGAATGTCAGCAAACTCCCACCTCAGTGAACAGAAAATGCTACAAGCAGAAAATGGCAATAGGTTCTGGGTTTGTTTTGTTTTTTCTTTTTAAAAACCAGAAATAACCTTTTTCTGGCATAAATTCTATGTGAATTACCAGAAAAATGGGATCCGAGTTCTGTTTCACAAGTACTGGCAGCATGAACAGATGATATTTCTCAAGTCCCAGAAGACTAGAAGCCTCAGTCTTGCTGCTTTTATTGCTCCTATCCAGGCTGCAAATACTTAGCGGGCAGCCTTTCTTTTTCATCCACTTGTCCCCCTAAATAGGTTGTGACTTCAGTAAAAGATGCTGGCAGGAATCCAGAAGTGGCGTGAGACCCAGTGAAGGAAAATTCACTGCTAATTCAACATAATTTCTGCAAGTCTAAGAAGTTCAGTTTAGACTTGCTTGAAGCCTACTCATTTATAGTTGGTTCGATTTGGTTTGACTATCCCTTATAATAATGATATGAGCTTAACCTTCTGGAGGAAGGGAAAGCATGGTTAAAAAAGCCAGTCTACATCTATCTATATTTATTTCAACTAATGCCTAAAGGAGATAAAAAGAGATAGTCAGTACATCACAGCTTTGTTGCTCCATTAACCCTAAATGGAATGACTGTAAAACTTTTGGCCCAGTCTTACTCTGCCATAGCCACCAGTGAGGCAACAGATGGGACTTCATTTACTCTCATATACGGTATGAGCTTATGCCAGGTATGCATTTGGCACACAGTTTTTGCGATGACATTACGTTCCAGAGATGATACTGAACTCAGACTCATCTATGCAGGGTAAATTATTTATTTATTTATTTTAAAGCACACATTAAATTTCAAATTAGACTTCTACTAATCTGTAATCTCAAGCCAAATACATAAACACAGGTAGAAATATATATATATATATATACATATATATGCATGAGTAGGAAGTGTTCTTAGTGCATATTTCATACCTGAAAGCTCATAGTGACCATAAATTTTTTAAAGACTTTGCTGCCTCTTTTCTTTAACATTGCCATATGTGACTTATTCTTGTTAAATTTACTGCTGCGCAGCCATAGCATGCTGAAGTTGAAGCTCTGTATTTGTTGATTAGGGTTCCAAATTTTAATTCCTCTTTTTACAAAATAGTTTTTGCACTTAAAATTCTTATCATGTTGAAAACAAATAAACTGAGTCCACTGGGAGGACAATGTTACCTCAAACTAAAAACTGATAAGCAAACTTCCAAGGCTCAAATGCAACTGACACCTTCGTCACTAAAGTGAACTTCTACAAGCCAAGAAAGTTGATTCTAGCCACGGCTCTGGACAGACCACTCTTTTTTGACTAGTAGCTTTCAACCTTCAAGTGTCCTTGTGTTCTTCATTCCTTTATCAGTTACATCATAAGGGGACTAAACACAAGTTCAACAGTTTTTCTACTTGAATAGCGCAAAATTATGAACAGTAACTTCATCAGGTAACCATCTCTGACTACTAATTTTTTAACACTTTAACTTGAATTTGCATAGCTGTTTCTTGTTACACATTTATAAGAAACCTTGCTGCTAAGATGCTTGTAATGCTGCTAAGATTTACATACTCTTAAAGTCATTCCTCATGTTGATGAAATTTAAAACAATTCCTCATGCGCTTGCAAGTCCTCCATCCTCTTTCAGAGAGCCTGAAATAGCAGGGACCTGATTCTCAGTATTTCAGTTTTCAGTCACTAGCAGTATTACAAAATTACCTGATAGGGCAATTATTGCATTTTGAAAACAACATTTATAACTTTATTTTCAAGGTCATTTTTTTTGTTAATATAGCACCATTTTTGAAACTAGACAAAAAAGTGATTTAGAGTCAGTTATTTAATTAAAATTACATTTTACTTTGGGATAAAGATGCAAGGTAAGAGGCTACAGTATAGTGTTTTGTATTTAGCTGCACAACTGCTTTGTCATACAGTTAAAAAACTGTTAGACAGGAGGTTAAAACTACTAAGGCAGGGAGTATAACTTCTCTCTCATTTCTTCCTCCATATATGACTTAATCTGCAGTTTTGCCAAGTCAAACAGCTACAAATGAGAGTATAAACAGAAGAGTTTATGTTAACAAGAAGAGGCAAAACAGGGAGCTTACTGCACTCCTTATTTAGCCTTTTTAACAGTAAAACAATCTTGAAGTCAGTTGGGTCACCTCCAAAGAAGCTGCTGAGAAAGCAGCAGCTGAGCTCCAAGATGGGGCATAAACTGACATCCTCCTTCCTCCTCCATCCACCTCCTTCTCTGCTCCAGTGAAGCCCCTCTAACTTCTTTCTAGTAGGTAAGCAGAATCAGGGAGCTTTGAAAGTGTCCCCTGTCCAGCTCTTCTGAAGCTAAGGAAGCTAAAAACACTCTGGTGTGTGGGGGCTGCTCTGCAGGAGGTGGCAGAGAAGGGGAATTTCTATTAATGGAAAACTGGTTATAGACTAATGGACTGTGTTGGCTTTGTTGTTGGTTGTTTTTTTGGTGATTTTTTTCTTTTTTTTGTTCCATTTTAAAAAACAAAACCATGCTGCTAGTCCAGCACTACATACTACAAATCTCTCATAATTCCTTTCTCCTTGCCCTGAATTCATACGCAAATTTCACCTATTTGGTTTAGGCTAACAACCAGAAAGTTCTGGAAATTATCTCTCTCCAATCTATAAACCCACAGAGATCCATGGACAGCTATCTGTGAGAGATAATTTGGAAATACAAACTCAGCTGTCTTTAGTGCATAAAAGACTGCTCTTCGGCAATTTTTAGGGGTTTGCAAACAGACCAAGGTTGTCCTAGAGCAGCAACTATAATTAATTTAGCAACATATACTGAAAGCAAAAGTATTTGAAACTAGACTTTTTCTTCTTCTCCAGAATACTTTATTACAAATCTTCAATTTATAAATGCTTGAAGTCTTTTTAATGAGGCAGTGCCTTTCACCTTTGGAGAAGCATGTTCATATCCTAGTACTTTCAGTGAAGTACAGTTGACATGAAAACACATCTTAAAACAGTTTTTATTGAAAAAATTAATTGATCCTCTTCAAAGATGAAATACTGTTGGTTGTACTGAAAAACTGTCTATTAACTGCCCTTTTTTTTTTTTTTGTTAGTTTCTTTGCCTTGTAAGCTTACCTCACTGTTATGAGCTTTGTCTCATGCTGGGTGATGAAAATCAATTTTAAGGTAACCTAGCAGAGTAATGTAAGGGACTTTACATGGACTATGATATATTTGCTCTTTCTAAACTAGTACCATATTTTCTCCCTTAATAACTGAAGTGAGAGGATGACATGCTTACCTGTGAACACTACACATGTACACACAAAATGCAATATTTAGCACACAAAAATACACAGCTCAACAGAAGAAAAAGAAAAAGACAGGCTAAATTATAATTATACTTTGCTAAGGCACCCCTCACAATGCATTTTTTTAAAAAAACCCTGTCACTTTATAGTCCTGACATACTCTGAATACCTGGATTTTTTGCTCCTGAAAAGACAAAGATGACAAACCTTACTATCAATTTCACTGCTCCCCAGAGCAGACTGGATCACATACAGCAATGCATCCGTCAGGCCATCACACTCCCTCATTCTTCTGCGGGCCTCCTCTCCAGCAGAGCTGACATTCCTGGAAAGCAACAGCAAAGGTCACCACCTCCACAACTCCCCTGCCCGCCTCCCCTCCTAAAACCTTCTCACAATTAACATATGCATAAATCACTTCATTTCTCTTCTCCTTTCATTAATTCAGAGCTGGGAATAATGAAGACAGCTGTGAATGAGCTCAGGAAATGTAACACAAAGGTGAACAAATGGAAGTCATCAGGTCCTCCACAAGAAGGGGCTGAGAGGCCAAGCAGCATGCACCCACCTGAGCTGGGAGACTCACGGCCTACTAAAATTTGGAGAAGGGCTGATAATTTTTCTTTCTTTTTTTTTTTTTTTAAAAAAGGTAGGTTTTGTAGTAGTGAGAAAATATTTTTAAAATGTGCATGTGTACATATAAATCAGGCTATAAAAAGTCTAGAGGTTTTGCCAAAGAAATCTCCCAGGATTTCAAGAGCCCAATATTAGGGCTCTTAACCTGAGAGAAAAATATTATCAAAGCATAACACGTAACACCTGGTGTTGCTTGCTTCTCATTTTACATGAGTGTTTCCTTCTCTCTCATTTTGAGAGAACATTAATACCTCAATCTTCTCTTTACCTAGTTACTCACAAGTTGTTTAATATTGCAAAATTTAAAGCCTCAGCTTATTAGAATAATTGTGTTCCTTAGACAGGGCCAGAGGGCCTTCTGAACACAAATTAAACCAAAATTTACTGCATAACATAATGTGTCATAAAGTTCAAAATATTGCTATGTAAAGAAACAAATATGTATGAATGAGCACATATAAATAGAATCTATACTTGCTAACATCAAGTTTCCCTGAGAAAAACTGCATTCAAATTTGCATATCAGTTCTGATCTGGAAATGGGTGGATTAGCAATTTCAGGAACTGGGTAAAACTTTCCACACACAGTCTTGTTTGGCAGAGGAAGAAAACCCTCTGTCGAGGTGGTTCATCTGTAGGTCCTCTCTTCCCACTACTAAAGTTTATGTAAAAGAAAAGCAGAAAAGAGCACACCATCCCTACGTACTTAATGCCAACATATGGAAATGGAAAGGAGGGCGCTAGCCCTTTGATTTGGGAAGGCAAGGCATTTTATTCCTCTACGCCATTTTGAATTGTCTTTGCATTAAAGATGGAAAAAGGGTAAGAATTCTGGGAGGGGAATGAATTTTAGATGGGAGGAAAGTGAGATGATTTAAGGATAGGCTTCCTTTCAATTCTTTCTTTGCTCTACCGACTTCATCTCGTTCTACCTCCCTATCATCTAAAATAAAAAGGATTTCCTTTCTCCCAAAGCACCAAAAAGTTTTCCTAATCAAATAATCTTCTAAGTGGACAAACCCCCAACCCCTCCAGTGCAGGTTCCTAATTGATTCCGCTCCCTAAACACCCATGATTTTCCATCTATACTTGCATCTCCACACAGTGCTAATTAGCTCTGCTCTCCTACACACAAGCTGCCCCAATTAATTTAGTGCTGTTCCCTTCACCTTGCAGACAGCCCAACAGAAAACATACAGCCCAGGAGCACTAGAATGAATTACTTTATCTCCCTAGCAGACAAATTCCTGCTTTCCATTCTCCTTGAGACTGCCCAGTTCACCCCACATTAAATGTCAGAAGTGTGCCCTTCATAATGGCTTGCAAGCTTTGGGTTAGCTTGTTCTTCTGGTCCTCAAACTTCATACCTCTTCCCCTCTCTCTCTGCTGCTGTAAGAGCAGCAGATGAGGAGTCTTCTTCCAGTTCATGGGGAAACTCTCTTCTGTCATTCAGGAACTGGAGTCTGGAGAGCATCAACTGTAAAAAGTCTTCCATTGACTTTCCCTTTGAAGTAATGGAAACCTTCTGATTTCCCTTCAGGTGACAGAAATCAGAAGCTAAAATTACAGACCATGGTTTCCCAAAACAGTGCCCGTGCCCTGTATTTACAGGGCTAGAGACTCTGCCTAAAGTGCATTTTGAGTAGACTGTCCCCTTAGTAAAGGCAACAGCTCCACCGGAAATTCCAGAAGGGCAGCACACATAGGAAAAGCAGAATCATCAATCTGAACATGGTGGGATGGGCAGTGAGGACAGGGGGGGATTAGTAGACTTCTACTCTCCCACCCTCCAGGAAGATAGAGAGAGTTGTATCTGGCTCTAAAAGAGTAACTGCACAAATGACAATAGGAAGATGCTGAGGAAGTGTTCTCAGCACACCGATTTGCAACATTATCAAAAAAAAGCTAAAATATTACTGTATCCTTTTAAACAGAACTAGATGTAACAGTCTGAACTTACATAATGTGTTCAGGCTTCTTCATTTTCTGCAGTTAGAAATACTGAGTGCAAGCTTTCAAAATATACAGACTTAGACATTGGTAGAAACAGATACATTCTCCCTGATTTTTTTCACTGAGGTGACTTATCCTTCTCTCTAGCATGGCCAAATGCACGAATGCATGTCACCTTGACTCTCCAGAGCCTGCAGAGACTGGCAGCTTCTCAGCTCCTCTGCAAGTCCACCAGAAACTCCTCCTCACCAAGACAGCAATGCAGACAACCTTACAGTCCCTGAGCTGTGAGCTGTCTGCCTCATTCATTTCCAGACAAAGAAAGAATATGAGGCCTTTATACAAAGTAATACAGACACACTAGGGGCACATCTTGCACAGACAATGCATTTCTTTGCCCTGTGTGGAGGAGCTGTTGAGTTCACTATTTCTGTTTATCATGCTTCCCCACCGTGCTCCAGCTGCTTCTGTAAGCAAGAGGTGGATATACTGAATTCCCATGCTTCTCCTTTTCTTTTAAAAGTCTCTGTCTAGTTTATTGCACTGACTCATAGCTACTACAGCCCTCCCCAGGTTTGGCATGTTTATTTACATGGTAAACAGTTTAAATCCCAAGCAAATCCAAAGCTTTCATCAACATTTTGACAGAAATAGTAATTTCACTATTTAAAAAGAAATACATGCTGTTTTCTAACTATTCACATTTCACTTCTGTTGAAGGAATCTTTGTTAACTGAGATCTTTCACAGAAGGTCTCTAATATCACCACGTTCAGGCTATGTAGGTTTTGTGAAAGAGAAGCAAGTTCCAGACTATGTGAGCTGTCAAAGAAAACACGCTGCCATCTTAATTTTCTTATTTCTCATTGTTAACTCAAGTGGGTTGTAGCTGTCAGTGTGACAGTGAGTAAGACATGATTCGGCATTTGTGAATTTACAGGTCAGTGTGCAAAACGTAAACTGGAACATTAGTATTATCTACTGTTGGTGAAATGTCCCGCTAATTAAGCATATTTTCTGGATTTTTAAAGAGATGTAGAGATACAGTGTACAGGTTTTCAGAAAAAAAAAACCCTCTTCCATCATAAAGGCAGCCCAGCAAAACCTGATTGCCTGTGGAAACTACTCACAGGGTGTATGTGAGGTACAGACTGACATTTTAAATCTAACAGGACAAGCAGTGCTTTAGACCTCCATAAACGAGTACAATTAATTTCAAATGGAATGCAGTCACACAGAATACCAAGAATACAGAGTGATGAAGAGTAACTTTAGTTTAGTCAGAAGGTTCCACTCATACCCCCAAAAGACAGCTAATGTAAACAGCTCCTTCTCAGGAGAGGAACACCAAGAACAGATAGACCAAGACCCAGACCCATGGCTCATCAAACTGCTTTTTTTTGAATAGATGGCAGACCAATTTTGCTAATTATCTAGGAATGGAAAGAGAACTACAACAATTCAGCTTCAGTTTTACAGGAAAATGTGTCACAGCTATCATCACCTGATAAGTAACAGCAGTCATGATCCTCCAAACATACATGTCAATCCAAAAAACATGTCAATCCAATGCTCCATGGATATAAAGCGTGTGGTACAAAGGAAAGCACTGTGCGACACATACCTGATTCCTGTCAACCCTGGCACTTACCTTAGTTATGCACTGTAATTGGTGGGATCTGAGGTAGGGGAAGAGGGGTGGTGCCAAGTAATTTCCTTCTCCTTTAGGGTCATTTTCTGTACACTCATACAAACTGTGGGAGGTTTTGAACACTATCCTTATGGCTCTAGGATAACTAAGTCCACCTGCCCTATCCAGGGGAGGGACACTGAATTCTATGGAAAGATCATCCAGAAAGCCAGTGTGCTAAAAGACATGCCATCCGTGTATGGGAATATTTAGTAAGCTGTTGACATTATTCACAGTGGCAGTTCTACAAATCTCAAAGACAGAATTAAAGTATCTACAGAAACAATTGCCCTCCTCGAGCATGCTCAGGTCACATCAAATGGTATGACCTTTCCCATACCAGCTACAGGTCTGCAGACTGCAGATCTCACTGCAGTTGTGTAGGATAATCATTGAGAACAAATAATCTGTATTTAGCAAAGATGAAATCGAGATGGGTCTTCCTCAAGGTGCGGTGATATAAAGAGAAAGCATGTTTAATAACTATGTATATGTATCTATGTATATGTAACATTTTTGCTATGGACTGATGTGATATAAGAAAGGACAGGCACAGGAAGGACAATATCCTAAATCAGGCAGAACACAGAAGTTATCTTTGGAATGAAACCTTAGATGCATCCAAAGTGTACCTTTATTCCAAAAAAGTTTTGGGTAAGAGTTCCTCAAACCTTTTCATCCTTCTACTTGTTATAATAGCCACTGACAAGATTTTCACAGAAAGGGGGAGAAGTTTATATAAACCAAGAATTAAAAAAACTCCATTAATGTTGTAGGAACCACGTTTTTGTTTCCCTAAAAATACCTGTCAAAGGAAAAGCACTCAGAATACTGAATAACTGACTTGCAATTGACATATTAAATACTCATCTTTAAAACACATACATTAAAAAAGAAAAAAAAAATCCCCGATACTGGCCTCCTCTACACGTGCTCTCTTATATGCTCCCTATCTTTCTTTCTGGATTGACTAAGCATTCTCCTTCAGGAACAGAGCCTTCTCTTGGTGGGAAGCTGGCATCCCCAGTCCCATCACAGGCTGCAGTG